TATTGCGACGTACGGCGCCGCATCCTGGTTGTTAAGCGAGCACATGTTCTGTGTATAGTGGTGTGTCTATATAAGTGCGAGCGGTAGCATTCTGCGCTGTTGTTCACAGTTGTTTGCAGTTAAGAAAATTTTTTTTTTGTTGTTGTTGTTTTGTTCGATGGCTTGGGGCCGCTTCCGGCCAATGTATCGGCATATCTGCCCAATGGAATAAAGTTCCGAGCCCAGAGTAGCTGTTTCGCGTGGCGCGTTGAGAAGCAATGCCAGAGAGTACTCTTTCAACCGCCTCTTTTGGTGTTCTACTGGACTGACCGACAGAGGCTTCCCATTGCTTGCCAGCTGTAACATAGCGCTGTCTGCAACTTCTTGTGTAACGAACGACAGTGAACGTGAAAATAACTCTTTTATTTTGTTAATAATTTAAAAGCCTTTTATTAGGTTGTAGGTCAGCGCTCCATCGAACAAGATGTGAAACAAGGATATAGAAATTTTGCTGTTTCACCGGACACCCCTCGACTTAATAAGAAAATCATAATAATTTACAGGAGCATAACATCGAAGCTTGCGACCAGACATATGATTCGTATTGATTCTTTTGACATACGCTATATGACCATAATGCAGCTAATGACGTATCAAGTGCAGTGTCTGAAAACAAACCACGTAAAATGATCAGCGATTGCATAGTCGACTGACGTTTTCTTCCAAACCTGATTTTTATCATCCCTATAAACTATGCTGAAAGCGTACTTTGACCCCTGGCAAACGAATAACCGTCTGTTTCACTGTGCAGTCTTTTAGAAGGGATACTAGCTGACGCATTTGTAAAGAAATTTGTTGATAAAAGCAGGAATCCGGTCTACTTATCCGACAATCGATCATGCTTTCCCAGTTGCAAAGTAAAAAGGAATATCGTAGCGCCTTTCTGCGCAACGTGGTAGCGACATCAAGGTAATCAGAAGAACTGCATACGAATAGTGATGGTTTCTTTTCTCTTCGTTTTAAACTTTTAGTTGCGCTCTTCATACCCGAATAGTATACACCAGATATTACTTCACCGTTCTATCGGTACTACACGGGGCCAGTTTATCGCTACTTTTGCCCAACCCTCTGACTTTGCATTCAGTTTAAAATATGTTCACAATATCTGATTAAGGAAATCAAAATCAGCTGCAGGTTCGCTAATACACATTTGATATGCCTGAGTCTTGTCAATATCAGCCCGTGCAAATATACAAAGCAAATAATTAGTGCCTCTTCATTGTGAAAATTGACTGTGCTTACTTAGCTTATTAGTAAATAAAGAAAATTTCGGAATATAAAATTGAGGTTGCAAATTAGACATACTATTACGTACTCGCCTTACTGTGACCGCAGAATTACGAAACAACAGTTTACCGGCTAGATCAATGTTTGAAACTTGATCACCTCGAAATTTTGGAAGATCAACCGGTTTCGAAGTCCAAACGCGTATTTTTCCAAACCGTGATTTTATGGTTTTAATAAACAATGTTGACCAGGCTTTTACCTATAGGACAGTGAATAACCGGCACTTTTTCGCTGTTAAACCTCGTAGAAATGATAGTAGCTGACGCAATGATGAACACGTTTACTCGAAACTAGCTTCACCAGGAAGCCGGTCTATTTATCTGACATCCGATCATGTTTCAATAAACGATCATGTTTTCAATCACGCCCTTGCTCTGCGTGACCATAGCGTCAGGATCTGAAGGATTACATATAAAAGTGAAGATACCTTATTTTCAAACGCACTGCGGTTTAATTTATAAGCTTCACTCTGCATATTACTGATATTAGTACGTGGAAAGTAGTAATTTATTGACAAACTATACCAGGAGAAAAATTGCGGCTATTGCAGTTGCAGGTTTGTCCATAAGTCGTATGCTCAGGAATGAACTGTAGGGTAAAACCGTATGCATAATATTACTCTGTTGTACTAAAATATTATTATGTAGCCTGTACCTTACGCGGGCCGAACGGGATTCTGCGCAAAACTAGGTTAGCACAGTTTAGCAAAATAAAGTGTACAGCGCTGAATATTAAAGTTATTAGAAATTTTAAGCGCCAACCAAAACACTTTTCGTGGTGAAGAAAATGACGCTTCCAAATTACGCTTAAGGTACAGATTTAGTACAGATTTAATTTAATTTAATTGCAATCAGAGCAGGTAGCCCATTTCCGGCTAGGTTGACAGTCTAGCATGGGATTTTAAACCTGGCTGAACATCAAGAGTTATTGTCGAGCATATAGCATCCAATAACCAAGAATTTAGAAAAAACAGGCAGATAACAGAGCGGCTTTAAAACACGACAGAGAACGTAAATTAAGAGCATCACTATCAGAACGGTATATTTTATCCAAAGTTTATTCAGCCTCCACGCGAGAGTTGCTTCTCCAGTTTTCGTCCTCGCCTGCGTTTTGATGGTCGGGCGGCTGTCCTGCCGCAAGTTGTACGGCTTCTTCGGCTCATCGAATACAATCATTTCCGCGACGTACGTGGGGACGTTGAAGGTCACAGGATGCCGGATCTTGTACAGCCAACAGGCTTCCTGGTGCTTCCATCTGGTGAACAACGGCAGTATCCCGAATTGGTCCATTAGTTTCGTCACTGGCGTTCTCGGGTAATTCGCGATCGCCCGAACAGCGTTTCGTTGTGCAACAGCTAACTTCTCCCGCAAGGACGCAGACGCTCCGTTCCACACAGTAGAACAGTAGTCCAGGTGAGACTGGACAAATGCGTAAAAAAGCCCAATGCGTTGAGAATCACACAGACCGTCTTTTGCACGATTAATGAGGGCAATTCCATGACTAACGCTTTTATGGACCTTATTATAATGTTCGGCCCATTATAATAAGGTCCATAAAAGCGTTAGTCATGGAATATTTGCTTACAAGTACTAGTGCTTTAAAAACCTCGCAAGCGCTTCAGTGCGCACATGCATCTGTTTTGCGACCTTTGGTTACCCACACAGAATAGCTTATTTTCGTATTATATAGTTCTATGGGATAAAAACACCATTTTGTCCTAAAAGAGTAGTAATACAAGATATACACGCGGATAACGTATAACATCTAAAATTTTACTAGACTCTTGCAGTTCGTTTCAGATGAACGCCGTTATCGCTCAAAAACAGGCTTTAGAACAGCAGTTGTTCGAGCTAAAAATGCAGCTCGAGGAGGAAAGGAATCTGATGTCGGCAATCACCGAGTTATACGACAAAATTTCCACCTTTTTAGGCCATTCACAAAACCTTATGCAAAGAATTAAATCCATTGAGCTTGTGATAGCGCCCCTGGAGCGGATTTCGGAAAAGTTGATAGCATTCACCAGCGACCAACTGGCTGGAGACGACATGGACAAAGCTTTGCGCCGTACGCGTCAACACATCAGCAATCTCAAGGAAAAATTTGCCATAGTATCCGTTGTTTCTTCTTAATCACTTTCTTCCGTAATCTCTTTGGAGCATGAATATCGTGCATTCTTTTCCATGCTTTAAATCTATTACATGACGTATTCTTAAATTTTCTCATCTTATTTTAAGAACGCTTTAATCGAATTTTCATCAACTTAAGCGCTCAAATTTGTTGTATCGTTATTACAATACTTTGAAAGACGAAGTGGTAGCTTGCCCGTTTATTTTGATTAATATTTACTTCCGCAAAACGAAAAAAGACACTGTCATCACTCTACATGTATTGAATTAGTTTATTATCACAGTCCAGAAGGAAACAGAAGGATTCTACTCTTTTGTGAAGCATAAACACAGAGAAAATTAGAAAGTTGTTTCAAAGTTGCGTTTGGTGAGGTTTTAACTTTAAGGTCGCCATTTCACTAGATCTGTCCACTTGTCCCGTTAGAGCAAGTCGGGCCGGTACATTTTTTTCGGGCCTCAATGCAATTCCGCCTTTCGGGCCTCCAAATTCTTGCAACATTAATGCCATAGCGTTTCGGCTTCGATAGACCTTATTCCATGCATAATAACTGCTCGTACAGTCTTTCAAAGTGGCCCCCAGTTATTACAAATTCCACCAACCGATTTTCTTCCGGTTGTTCACTTTACCCAATTCAGCATAGGTTATTCTGTACATAGTGCGTACTGTGGTTGGAGTTTCATATTTCTTAAACCGTTTTCTTGCGCTGCGTCGTTAAAGAAACAGTGGCGAAACAACTAGGCCATGCCACACCATGATTATTGATTACTGCACTTAACGCCAAACACGTGCGGCTGCGCTGTCGCTGTGCAAATGGCACATCTGTACAATGAGATTACCTAACGACAGTTGTCAAAAATAAATGCACCGATCGGGTTAAACATCTGCATTAAATCCAATCAAAATTATTTTGCGTCGTCATGATGGCCACTTTGAACGACCATCGTACGGGTGGGTGTACATTTGTAGCCGGCAAGAATGTTAACATGTAAACTATCAACGCGTTGACAAGTTTGTCGGGCCCAAACGTTGAGTTGATGCTAACATTTCTGACGGGCGAAAGCGTTAAAAATTGGAATATACATTTGCATACTGTGTATACCTTTGTTCTGACAATTTTTAGGCTTATTACTATTAACTTTATTTTCAATTTCACGGCAAGAACCAGACACTACTGCTTAAAAATTAAATTAGGAGGCAATACCAAAACAACCAATACTGTCAATGGTTAACGTTATCATACGGTTTAACACGTGTCAAAGTGCCGCCGTACTATCACGAACAACGGCGGTGCTGAACGCGATTCACAAACGAACTCGAACGCGATTCACCTGTTTTTGCCGAAATTCTAGAAGCTAAAAAACTGATAGTACCTTCGTCGATTCGCTCAGCACTGCATTTGCGCAAAACTTTCTTTTCTATGAGATTAATAAAATTTGCGCTTTACACTAGCTGAAAAAACTGTCGTTGACTATGAAAACTGAGATTTATTTCCGCAGGCTTGAATATTAGTTGAAGGCGTCTCTTCGCCCGGCTAATTATACTGTATCGCCGTGTGTACGCTGTTTTATGTCGATTCAATAAGGGTTTAGTACAGTAACTTACATTGTTAGTTTGACCAAAAAAAACAGTGCCCAGTCTTTGAAATGGACAACTAAACGACATTTTTAGCCAAAAAAGTCACTTCAAAATGAATCAGTCATGGCTTGATTTCACAAAGAATCAGTTCACAGTCTGGACAGCTATTTGTCGAAGGTCAGCTTGAGCTTTTCCGACGAGGCTGGTGATGAGGAGAAGCTGTTCCGTCACCTGCACTACCAACCGCGACTTAATATCGGTTTCCGCCGCCAGCGCTTGTTGTTGTAGCGCGTGCAGGGCGGCGGTTCGCTGGTCCGGGCTGAGTCCAGTCAGGGCGGACAATCCTGCTAACTGTTGATTGACATGCTTTCCATGGACATCAAGATACATTCCAGCCATCACCCGAAGGAAATACGCCTGCCCCAGAATCTCTTGACACTCGTCAACAATCAGCGTGGCGATGAATTCCCGGCCGTCGCGACCGGTGTCAGCCAAACTAGCGATTGCAACGGCGTCGGCTAGTGGCATGAAGGAGTGTTTGACCGCGCGGTCCACCCGGTACGTCATTACGGCGAAGAAGTCAATCAGCGCACTCCATTGGTAACGCAGCTGACCGAGAACCTGTGTGGCGTCTTTTAGTAGCTGGATTATTTCCTCGAACCGCACAGTTTGCATATCCAGCATGGCCAGACGGCCAATAATCTGGTAATATGACCGATAGGAGTTTAAACGCAGCTGCAATATCTTCATTTGCACTTTAGCTTTTTCCTTAGCATACTCGGCTGTCATGAAGATTTTGATGCGCTCGTTAGCGAACGGGCCTTCTAGATTTGCAACCATCTGAATGTTGGTGTCCGTATTTAAAACTTCGTCGCGTTGGGCCAGCGCTTCAGAATACAGGTTCTGTGCTTCCTGGTTCAGTTCGGCAGTGGCGTTCTTTGCACCATTCCACTCTTTTTCTCCGTCGTTATCGCTGATACGGTCGACAACGTCCAGAACCTGGTCAATCAGTTTACGGATGCGCTGGCCATTGGGAGAAGTGACGGCACGTGACAGCGCTTCTAGGACTACCCTTGTGTTGCGGAAGAATGATTGTGCGGTTTCTGTTGACGACGAGTTTGATTGGTTTAAGTAGTTGCCGATGGAATTTGTCACGTCCATTACTTTGGATGCCTCTTTATGATCGATCGCAGGAATGCTTTGCGAAGAACCTGTTGCACTTGTTGATGTTACCGAGGAGCCCACCGCAGCTGGAGCGCCGAGGACATATCCAGTCAGAAGAGAAGGAAGCATATCTACGACGGCGTGTGCCAGCCGCTGCTTAAAGGCCTTGAACCCGGTCGGTAATTGTCTTATCGCTTCTGCATGTGCTTCATCCGCTTGGCGTACCTTAAAAAATGACACAGTAATGCAAAGGAAATTCACCGATGCTTTTACGACAAGCCCACCAGCAAAAAGAAGCATAAAACAAATTAAGCTCTTAAGACATTCATTTTTATTTATTGCGAAACAGTCATGTTCTTAGTCGTGCTGTAATATCCAGGGTAATGGAGCAGCAAAGAAAACTCAAAAGATTTTTACAGCGTTGTAGTTGATATGCTTGTTACCTGTTGATCGATCTCGCGCTGTTTTTGTTCCAGTTCTTGGATTTCCCGATCGGAAGCTGCTTTGAGAGCATCGTTTTGTGCCCTTTCCAATCGCGTTTCCCATAAGTGCCATTCATATTCACCCCTTCGGGACTGTACCGCTTCGGTGATTTCTCCCGTCAGGTTCATTACACGACCAAATTTATGAGCCGTACTGCGGGCCCGTGCTGCCGCTTCCTCGCCGATCGAGCGGATGGAGTTGAGAGAAATGTTGACCATCCTGGGTAAAATGGACAGCGGGGCACCTTTCAGTACGCGAACTACAGTGCGCAGATGCGCCGGCACTTGTTGCATTTCCAGCTGGAGAAAGGTCATAGTGTGGAATGCATCGTGAAAGGCATCCCATGCTTCATTAGCCAGTTGCACCAATGACGCGCGCAGTGATGATGGGTAGCGCAGGAAACGGAATCCTCCCAGTGGTGGGCGTTCGACCAAAGAGACATCGGTTTTGGCACAAAGAACCAGAAGTTGCCCTATTAAAGCCACTGATGCCGGAGCCGGGCCAAGATATGCTTCCGGGAAAATTCGAGATTCCCAGAGCTGGGCTCTCTGTTGTAACTGGGAGTCTGAAATCAGTATCAGGTTAGCAAGTTCCATGTCAATCGTGGTACTGGCAGCTGTTTGAAGGTACCTATCCCTCTCAGCAGCTGTGATTCTGTCTTCAAGAGACACCATCCGACCAAAAGAAAAGATACGAGTAGCCGATATTGCAACGACAAACGAGAAGTCTCGCTTATGTCTATTCGGTGATGTTTTGTGTCGCATATCATCCGAAGGTCCGCTAATTATTATATCCGTGTTTTTCACCATTTAATTTTTACATAGCAGTTTATTACCATTTTATTCAAGTTAGGTAGCTGCCTGAAAAAATTATCCCAAACAGTTTTATTTTTACCCGTATTGTTTGAATGTTCCTGCTTTGGAATACAGATACTGCGGTTCATTGGTCGACGTGCAAAACGCATTTTATCTGTTTCTCTTAAGGTGTTTTGTATTTCGTACGGCTATCGCGCATGGTGAAAGACTGTAAGTTCCAAATAAATCGCTAAGACAAATTTATTGAAACGTAAAAATGGAATGCTTACCAGCGCCCGTTCCGTTTCCCGCTAATTCTAATGAGAAGGAGCCAGCTCCGTCACAAAGAAAAAAACAGTAACAGACCGCAACGACACATGCTGAGAAGTAACCGACTGGCCGCATTCTTTCAACTATAACAACAATATAACACTGGCGGTATAACGACTATTCAATTCTTAAAAAGTTGACAACAAGCGTTAAAACTTACAGTTGTTTAGCTTTAAGTGTCTGCGTCAGTTGCATCATGCAGTATCTCTGATGCCAATTTCACGAAGTGAAAGCAAAAACATGATCACCTTTGAATTCAGTTTCTGAATTACCGGGTTCAGTGTCCGGTACCTGAGCACGTCGTATGATCAGCAAGTTGCATAGTCCATTTTTGTTTGCTTCCCAACCTTGATGTTTATCGTCTCCAAATAACCGTTAACACGCATTCAACCATTAGCTAACGGGTATCAAGCCGTTTTTTCTTTGCTGTAAAATCTTCTGGGAATAACGCTGGCTGACGACACTGTTAAGAAATTTACTTGTAAACGCAGCGTAATCAGGAAGACAATCTATTTATCTGACACCTGATCATATGTTTTGCTAAACAAGGTACGTATTACAGCAAACTTCCAAGCACCACGATCGCAGCGTCAGGGAAAGTAGTGCATATAAATCGTTTCGACTTTTCTCTTCAAAATATAGCCGTGACTTTAATTGCGCTTTTAACAGTGCAGTTCTTGCAGTTATTACTTTATTCGTATGCCAAGCCGGGTTTAAGTCATCGCTGCCTTAAGTCTCAGGTGTGTGTCTCATAAATTTTTTAATTGCTGCTGAGTACACTGTTTAGTACATGTACAAATTGTACACACACGACATTGAAATTAACAACAATATAATGTACCATAGCAGGACCTGCAAAACTAAGATGTTCATGGTCAGAAACCCTTTTCTGTTACATTGCATGTTATTCCCTTGAGTAAGCCTACTCATGTTTCAACTTTATAAATAAAATGAACTCGTTTATTTGTACTGGCTTACAAAACCGATAATATCCTAATGTCCTTCTCACTTTCAGTTTTTTTGCCTCTTGCCTCGTCTGGAAATCTTTCCCTTTTTCCCCTCCAAATACCCACATCCACGGCGTGAGCCTGGCCATTCACGATGAACGACCGTCATTTTATGGTTTTCTTCGTAGCTTTGGTTGCTGTTGCAGAAGGTGAGGGCTTAATAACGAAGCCATTTAAAACCTAATAATTCGGCATACAATCCGGCATATTGTATTTTAAAAATAAAATTCTCAATCTCACTGCTAACGATGCCGGTATACGAACAAAAATACTATATGCAAAAATTCATTTCCCACAACAGAAGCGCTTTATTATGAGTGTTAGGAACAACGCGGGTGTGTACCTATTGTAAAAACCAGGACCGTAATTTGCCTGCAGTGAAAATCCAGCTAAAATGTTCAGAAATTATAGCGCAAAGTGCGAGTGATGGCAGTAATGAGCTCGTTTTTCGTATAATTCATGAGTTGACCGTTGCCGTATACTTTTCTTAGTCTTTTCTAACTTACTTCAGATTTATAGCGATTCTAAAGACCCACGTTAACAGGCCAATATTTGCGTAAATAAGGCTAGCAACATTCGCTTTCCCACTGCCCCACAGACTTCTGCCACGTAACGAAGAGAGTTTAAAAACGTTATTCAGCCATATCATCGGCCCATATGCATACCGTATTCGTTCCTAGGCAGTAACCTGGAGGCTTACAAGCATGCCGTGCTGTATCCATACAAAAATGCCGTAATCTACCTTGCTGACACAGTTATGTCCCCGCTCAGTGCTGCACCCGTTCCCGTGAACGCAAATCAAACCGGTAAGATTGGTTGATAGCCCAATTACGAAAAGCTACTGTTAAATTTTTTTGTGAGTCCTTTGTTAAATCTGTTTATGATTCCTCTGCTAAATCTTTCTGCAATTCCTTTGCTAAATCTTTCTGTAATTCCACTGCTAGTTTTTTTGCAATTTTAGAGTTAACTCCTGAGTTGAAAGCCTTTGCGCGCGACTCCAAACCCTTCCACACCAATGTCCGTGATATCAGCGCCGCAGCTGAAGCAGAAAAGGTGAAAACACAGCAGCAAGTGGAGCAAAAAACGGCGGAAGTGGCTGCCTGCAGTGGCCAGTTGACCCAAAAGCAACACGAATTAAATGTGAAAAATGCGGAGTTGAGTGGACAGGAGGTGCAGTTGAATGAGGCGCACGGCCATTTAGCGCAAGCCCAAGCAGAAGCCCATCGAGCGCAGCACGATTATGATGAAGCTCGGCGTGAGGTGGATCGCAAAAGAAACTGTATAATTGGAAGAAAAAAGCGAGGGCTTCTGAAGGTTCTCAAGAAACTGGTAAATGGACCGTGCCACTTCGTACACAATATCGACGCCTCAAAGGACCGCCGAACTGCAGCGGGACACAGAAAAGATCACGCCCAAGCACGCGTCCACGACCTTACCCATCTAGTGAATCAGAAGCGTGCCGAAAGGGATCACGCACAGCATCAGGTAGAACAATTGAGCGATGAATATTATGATACAGTGCAATGTTTTGATCGAACAGTCAGATCAGCAGGCATATTATGGCCTCTTATTTAGCCGGTTTAGTAACGTAAAGGAATACTGCGCTGCTTATGTGCATGGGCACTGCTTTACGCGATTCGATTTTTCACCAAGAATCAGTTGCCAACTTTGCCTGCGCACTAACAGACGCGTTAAGCTGAAGAAAGCAATTGAGGCACCTCGTTTTTTTTCACCACAAGCCCACATGAATTGGCTTAATAACCTTTAAAACAGCATCAGTCTGCGCTGGTAACAAGTTAGTTACTAAATTTTGCATGATCCGATAGGAACGCATTCTCTATTCTCTACCTCTTTGAGAAGCGTATTGTCTAGTATTGACGTTCTTTTAAAAAGTAGTATCTTGTAGGTAAACGCAGTTACAGGTCAGAAGCAGGCAATGGAACACCAATTGTCCGTACTTCAAACGCAGCTGCAGCGGGAAACAGAACTGGTGGCGCCGATCAGTCTGTTCTACGGACACATCTCCACAGTTTTCGACCATTCTGGAAGTCTGCAGAACGTTTTGGACAAACTTATCTCCATTGAGCTTGTCATAGCGCCGCTGGAGCAAATTTCGGAGAAGCTGATAGCATTCACCGGCGATCAGTTGATTAGGAACGATATCAGCGCGGCTTTGACTCGTATGCGCCAACATACTGCCACTCTTAAAGAGAAACTGCCGCAGTATCCCTTGTTTTTTCTTACTCACGTTTTTCCTTAATCACGGTGTAACTGTGTGAAATTGTGAAATATAACTGGACCATTCGCTTTAAAAGATTGAGAACGTTTTTTGAGTTAGCCGATAGCACCATAACTTTATGTACTGTTGCATCGTAAAAATACTTAAAAAATCGGATACAGTAAATTTGTGAGATTAAACATCTGTGCACATTGAACAAGGCTCTGCACTGGATGCCCGGCTAGGAACCGGTGCGTCTCGTACAGATTGACTACGACTTTTCTCGCATCCCGGCCACTTCGAGCTTACAGGTTCATGTTCCAGCAAAAGCCGGACACTACGGTTTCCCTGCATGACCCACATGAAAATTTAATTGTTTTAATACTGCACAGGTACTTTTTAACGAGTGAGAACCGAAATTCCGAAACTGAGTACAATAAAACAACAACAACAAATTCAACACAAAACACAGTTAAGGAAATTTAATCTGAGATCAACTTTAACAATTTCCATACTTAACAACTGATTAAATATTTTGACTGTGTTTTTATGTTGAATTTGTTTGTTGTTTTTTTATTGTATTAATTTCCGGAATAAAGGTTCTCAACAGTTAAAAACTATCTGTGTGGTTTTTGAAAATTATTTTTCATGTGTGACCGGAACGTAGCTGACTTGTCTTGGTTGCTGTACAGTATTCTCACATCCGAAACTGGCGTCGAAAATCCCCAAAAGAAGCATAAATTATTGGGACTCATCTTTTAAGAAAACCAGACCTTCTAAAAGAATAGTACAGTCGACAGCGCATCCGGTAGTTAACAAGGTGATGCCTCCTAGGGCCACCAACTGCGAATATTGAACCTGCACGTTTACATTGAACACTTTTGTTGGAGCCGTATGTAGGTGTTCAAAGTATACAGATTTCACTGTGTCGAAAAACTAACCAAACGAAAGCGGCCATGTTACATTTCATTCATCACATTTTCCATTTCCCAGTAGGCTAGTACATACAAATAGTCCAAACAGTGGGCGTTAATAGCGCTGCAAAGCCAATTACCGGTATATCGATTTCCATATGGCTGCAAAATTTGTGATTTAACAGAAAAGAAAATAGTTTACCACCAGTGTGTTACCGTTTCTTACAGTTTTAGGATTTGCGAACATATCCAGGCACCAAACAAACAGAAACGATCACGATCAGGAATTTTTCCCGATCTCTTTGAATCCGCTTTTTAGATTTTTTCTTGCGATTTGTTTGTACATTATTTTATACAAGTTTTGCAAAGGTAGTAACAACGCTATTTCACAAGGGCTTACTACTGTATAAGGCGTTTGGTATCATCCTGGTACTGCAGCCGCTGGGTGAATTTGCATCACTGTAAGATCCCACACCTGCTTGCCCCCTGCCCGCGCGCCCGCGTTGCGTAGAAGATCGAGCCAGCATGACAAGCGTTCTCCGTACACCAAACTTCCCGCGCGCACGCGTTGCGTAGAAGATCGAGCCAGCATGACAACCGTTCTCCGTACACCAAACTCTGTGGTGCAAGTTCGTCCGCCGGCTACAGTATTCGACGTCACTTTCACTTCCTTATATGGCGCCGTTTTATTTCTTTAGTTGCCGTCAGTTTTTATTTCCTTATTTGATGAAATTTTTTCACTCCCTGGTATGACGCCACTTTTTACTCCCTTCTGCGACGTCATTTCTGACACCTCTGACATACAGGCAGACAGACAATTTTCACTTTCGCTTGAAGAGGACCTTCGCTGCGCTCCGATCGATTAAAGATAAGTAAATTAATAAGGCCTAAAAAATGCGACAATCATGTTCCAGAGCAATTACGTAAGAACGTGATTAAGAAGAAGCAACGGGTACTGCTGTAATTTCTCTTTGAGAGTGCCGGTGTATTGACGTATACGACACATAGCCTCGTTGATGTCGCTTCCAGTCAGATCATCACTTGTATATGCTATCAGCTTCTCCGACATCCGCTCCAGTGACGCTATTACATGCTCAATGGATTTAATTGTCTGTATAATGTTCTGCGAATGGCGGAAAATGATGGAGATTTGGCTGTGCAGCACGGTGGTTGCCGTCACCATTTCCGTTTCCCCCACGAGCTGCTCTTGTAGCTCGAACAACTCGTGTTCTAGTGCTTGCTTTTGAGCGATAACTAAGCTCATCTGAAACAAACAGCAATAAAACTTCAGACGTGATGCGCTAATGCTAACTATGTATATGTACATGTCGTGTGTAATGTACATGCTTCCGTCGCATAAAGTTAACATAAGAAGCACATAACCGGTTCTGTACGAGAGTGTCAAAGCTCCCAAAACAGATACTTTTGCGCACCAAAGTGCATGCGATGTTTTTAAACCACTCTTATAATAAAAAAATATACCGTAAGCTTGTTTGCATTCCGAATTGCTTCACCTTTAAATATTAATCAGTTGATACTCAGCATTTGCAAATGACTTTACTGTTTAGCAAAGACACGTTATTGTGCTAAACTGTGCTAACCTCATTTTGAGCAGAATCCCGTTCGGCCCGCTTATGATTGACCAGATGAGTAAGATCACGGACTCGTTCTTGGGCAAGATGCTCTCTCTGTCCCGTCGCCAATCGGCGGTTTTTCTCAGCGTCCAAACTATTGACGTTGCGATGGCACCCGCAAACATTAACCTGTTTCAAAAACTTTAAAAGCCCTCGTTTCTTTTTCCCGCTGATCCAGGCTCTTCGCCTCTCTACGGCCCGCAGAGCTTCATCGTATTCTTGCTGGGCTTGATGGACATCTGTCCGGACTTGCGATAGATTACGATGCGCATCACTTAGCTGTATTTCCTGTCCACTCAACTCTGCATTCTTTGCAGTTAGTTCGTGTTGCTTTTGGATGAGCTGACCACTGCAGGTGGCCAGTTCTGCCGTTTTCTGCTCAACTTGCTGTAGTGCCTTCACATGTTCGGCTGCCGCTGCGGCACTGATGTCACGCATGCTGGCATGGAAGGTTTTGGAGTCGCGCGCAAAAGTCTTTAACCCGGGCGTTAATTCTGGAATTTGAAAAAAGTCGGGAGAGTTCATCTATACTCGTGCTTCTAACCGAGATTACCGGTTTGGTTTCCGTACTGGCTTGGTTTGGCAGGAACGGGAGCAACACTGAGGGGGAATATAACCGTGTCGGCAAAGTAGAATAGGGCACTTTTGTATGGATACAGCACCGCATGTTTATAAGTATCCAGGTTAGCGTCTGAAAAGAAATGCAGCACATGAATTTGGTGCTTTTTCTAATTAATATGTGTGTGCTATTTTTTTATTGAACTTGCGCGAAAACCAAGTCTTAAAGACCAAATTAGCCGAGGCGAAGTCGTTAATTTATCGAATTCTTTAGCTTATTGAATAAATATTGGAATGGTCTCGCCAGTGGGCTCGTACCTTCTGCAACAGCGACCAAAATTAACAGGAATACCAACGAGTACCGGTCGTCCATTGGAGAAGGCTAATCTTCCCGAAAACGCTCGGCGTTCCACAGCCAGGGTAATAACCACGACAATCTGGAAACAGCAGAATCAGCACATAAATTTCCATAACAAGAGGTATATCTCGACTTACTAGCTTCTTAACTGACTATTGTACTGTGTATTGCACGCCTGCTCGTTATCGGTTAAGTATGACCCCGTCATATAAATCGACTAAAATTCGAAAAGAGCAATTTGAGTAGCAGAATGGATCATATAACAGTGGTGGTTTAAGTAGTATCCACAATAATGGTCATAGGAAACACAAGCAGCATGATAAAGGTCATGACGAAGCCGGTAATACAATGCCCTAAGCATACAACCACGGCACAGCTTATACCACAGCCTTCTCAAGAAATTCTCAAACTCCAATTCTGGCAGCCACAAAACTCAAAATATTAAGGTAACAGGAAAGGTCTCGCCATGGAGTTATGCAAAGAAACGCTCGACTCTGCATAACTCGCTATGGTTCAGTAATTTGTTAGTGTGCTTTCACATATTTAATTATGCCTACTGTACATGTTTTTACTCACCAGTGAGTCACCACTTTATCCCTCAGCAAACGACTAATACACAAACCTGCAGTTTCAACGGCGGCAGTTTTATTCCGGAATGGTTGATCGAGGAATTAATAACTCCCACGCAATAATATGCACAATGCAACGTAAACCGGAGTAGCGTTTCATCACAAAGTGTCTTTATTTATACACATCCTTCTGTCCTGGACTTTGCGATAACGCCAGAGTCCAGGATGGCTTGTGAAACATGATCGGATGGCGGATAAGTAGACAGGCTTCCTGGCTTCCTGCTTTACTATTAAATTTCTTCATAAATGCGTCAGCCAGAGTTTGAGCAGCGATTCATTATCCAAAAGAAAATGTGTTCGACATTGTGAATTAACGCCGGTTGTCGGTCAAAACGGGCATTGACGCGCTACACTTTAAACAAAACCGTAGCATATGACACATAAAGAAATGGTTTTTGTACCTTAATGGGTTCAATAATGGTAACGCATTTGTTGTTGCTGAGAAATTAGCTTTTAAAGTGAAAATCGCGAAGTCGATTTTTACAGAGTACAGATGGTGCACGACTGGAAACGGCTATTTTATAGAGTGAAGTATTAGAAACTTATTATACGGACAGAATTTTGATTGATAAAAAACAGAAATGGTTTTTGTACCTTAATGGGTTCAATAATGGTAACGCATTTGTTGTTGCTGAGAAATTAGCTTTTAAAGTGAAAATTTGAAGTCGATTTTACAGAGTACAGATGTGAAAAAATATTCTGAAACGGCTATTTTATAGAGTGAAGTATTAGAAACTTATTATACGGACAGAATTTTGATTGATAAAAAACAGAAAAAGAAAAAAAATCGGGGGTGCCAAAGAAGTGCTTGGGACACTCTACCCCTGGATAGTTCTGACCATATCTGCCGAACAAAACCCTAAAAAGAGATTCTGTCCGTATAATAAGCTCAGGCTGTGGTGCTTTATTTAATGCGATTTTATTCGTAATTTTTGGCAGACAAATGTATTCACAGCTGATTTTCAAAGTTTTTTTACGTTTTGTTCACTGTTAGCTTGCAAAAGTACTCGTACACCTCTTTCACGGCTTTGGTGCCGGTACCGAGAGGTGCTGGCTGCCGCACACAAAAGCACATGAGCAACGCAGAACAGGCAGGCAGCCATATTATATGGCTGCCTGCCTGTCAGACGGCAGATTT